CCGTCACAATCGCCGACTCAAACGCAACAACAAGCACAAACAGCCGCCTCAACCAAAACCAATAATGCCGCTATTTTAAGTTTATTGAACAGTAGTCCTGCTAATTCACTTCAACAGAAGAATCAAGGCCAAACACGGCGTATTTCCCTCAACGCCTCAATTCCACCACGAGTTATTGGACATGGAAATGTTATAACTGTTCCCAACACCACAGGCCAAGTAAATTTCTTTTCATATTCATATTTCCATTTATTACTATTATTATTATATATTTATGTGATTTTCAGGTCAGAGTTAGTTTTAGCTCAGCTTTAACGAGTCAATTGACTGGTAAACAGCAATCAGTCAAAGCGACAGCAGTTCGATTAGCAAGAGTACAAGATAATACTTCCACTCTTGGACTCTCAATGCCAGGACTTTCAGCACTTCTCGCTGGTAATTATCATGTTTTTTTTTTTTCAATTTTTTATTTATTTATTTATTTATTTACTCATTTCCTAAATCTGCATGCTATTCCATCATCTTGGCATGGTCATTTTCAGGAACACCATCGGCAGACAATCCCATACCTGGTATAAATACTGCTTCGACACTATTAGAAAGGCTAACAGCCTCTTCAAATCACGGTAACCAGCAGCCAGCGAGTCCCATGACGAGCCCCTCGCCTACCAATGTCAGTCTCCAGGGAGTTAATCTTACCAATTTACCTGGCTCTATAAATGGTCTACAAAACGTTCAGGTAAAGTTTTCTTATATCATGTCATATAATTGTAGAGCAAAAAAAAACTGTAGGCATAATTATTCAACGATTTTAGGTCTCATTCCCTGGATTGTCACAATCTATTACAATGCCACTGAATGTGTCCGCTGCAACTGCCTCAGTTACACCTACTGGAGTAATTGTATCTTTACCCATATCGTCTGGCAGCAATATCTGTACAACTGTATCAAGTGTAAGATTTATTCATTCTATGCTTATTTAACAGTAATAATAATGATAATTAATAAAATTATTATTATTATTATTATTATTATTATTATTATTATTATTATTATCATCATCATCATTATTATAGATGATTGGTGCAACAGTTGTGACAACAGCAGTTGCTGGAACAACTCCAACAGTAGTAATAGCTAACCCTGCTAATACACACTTATCCCTGCCAATTGCTCAGATTATCCCATCAGGCGTAAAGAGTTTGGCTCAGCAAACTCAAAATATACGAAATACCAATACAGTGGCTCTTTCACAGGTAATTATTTTATAAACAATTTATTGACGGACCATTTGGCTAATGGTCCTAATATTTGTGTGAATAAATGGTTAATAATGATGAAAAGAAGAGTGGACAGGCAATACAACTGGTGGGTTCCCATCGGCCACGGCTTAATCAAATAACCCGCAAAGCGCAACCGAACCAAGTCACATCCACTGTTTTACCTAATCAGCTGGTCACTGTAGCGAAAACAGTTACTGCAAGTCAGCTCATCTTGTCTGGTAATAAACAAGTGTTAACACCAATAATGGGTAAGCCCTTGAATACATCAATTCAATTAAATATCATCAAGTCATCAAGTAATTGATAGATAAAATTTTCATATTTTCTCAAGCTACAACGAAGCCGCTACTAATGGCAACTCAAGCGAATCAAGCTATACAAGCAACGCCGTCTTCCCAAACAGTACCTGGCAATAAACATGCTCTATTGACAAAATCATTGCACGCAAGAGGCGGTGCAACTGGTCAAATTGCTTCCCAGACTCAGGGAATAGGTGTGACCAGCTTATCGCAGCAACAAGTAAGTTTAAATATTCTCTCGATCCTTGTTTGTATTCGTATGTATTATCGATCATACTAGGATAATATTTATTTTTTCCAGCTTCAGCAACTTCAACAATGTTTAGTTGCTCAACAAAAAGCAACAGTAGTTGCTGCTAGTAATTCACCCAACCGAAGTCAAATTCAACCTAGAGGTGCTGTACCACCGTCTACTGACGAGTCTCTGTGAGCTTCCTAAAGTTCTTTTATTCTCTTTATTCCGCAACATGGTTAAATCTCATTTCAATTATTCTCTCCCCGCCCCCTTAATATCTCATTATTCTATGATGATAATAATCCGTCTTTTTCTGACCCACCAATACTTAGTTATAAAATTGATAGCAAATCCTCATTCGTTAGCGATATATCATCTTACTAAATTAACATTGAACGAGAAAAAAAACAACGGACGGAATTGCGAGTATTATATTGTAGAATAGAGAGCATTATTATTAGATCTGCAACGGAAAGTTTAAATTATTGTACGCATCCACCACCATATCGTACGTACTTACGATATTATATAATAATTATTATATATTATATATTAATGATTCGTTTTATATGAAAGATTAAAAAAGCAAAAAATTAAAGATGAATAAATCATTATAAATATAAGAATAATTATTGTTGTTATTATTATTATTATTATTATTATTATTATTATTATCATCATAGTTTTAGTATCACAAATATAAAGCCTCATTTGATTGAAAACGGTATAATAAACAGAATATTCCGCTTGAATTACATTGACCGTAATGAGAGAAAAAAAGAGTTGGAGCCCCCGTTTCCTCTTCCCCGAAATAAAGTAAAAAAAAGCAAATAACTAATGGAATTATTATGACTTGGCCATCAATAATTTGGCTCACTCTTTTACCAGAAGTAATAAAAATTGAGGATATTTGACATTTAACATATCATTGGCTACATTTATTCATAAAAATAGAGCAGTCTAAAAATATATCAATATTTAATCAATGAATTCGATATTTTTGTATAATACTCAAAATATATGTGCTATTGTCATTTTTTGTTAGATTACTATTCGTTTATGGCATATCATATTGCAGTATTATTCTTCAACACACACCATCATCTTATTCCAAATATTCAGATTCAGCTGCATGCCATATACCGAAATGAATGGAACATATGCAGCCGGCATTTCTTGTAGTTGAACCATTTTAATCTAACAGAAAATACTGTCAACTTTTTTTTTTAGCGCTTATGATTTTTTTGTTTCTTCTTTCGCTAACTGATCTTTTAATCATTGCCATCATTATTTGTACAAGTTAAATATTGTAAAACGCAATTAAGTGAATTCACTGAGTCGGCTGGTCAACCTCGGGTCTTGAATCCGATGTGGAACACGTACTCAACGAAGCGATTGTGGTTGCTGCATCGGGCGGGGTACTCCATTCACTCTCTGGATCAGAGAATATATTGGATTCATCTATTGAGATATCGGAGTGAGCTTCGAAACTCATTTTTTCCTCTGTATTTCGTTGTTCTGGGTGTAAATGAGAACATGGATGTTCATCTGCCATTAATGTCTCGTTAGCTGTTGATAAATTCAGGATATTTTTTTTAATTTTCGCAACAAGATATGAAAATACAATTAGGAAGGATAAATTGCTTATACTCACTCACCATTAGTAAGGCTATGCTGTGTGAGCCATGTGGGTTCATCCCAGGGCATTTCGTCATATGTTTGGCGTTGTTTTGTTGAAATATCTGTGTCAGCAATTGAGTTACCCGGAATGTCAAAAATTTCCGTCCGTTGGATTTTTTTATTCTCATCATCCATATAATAATAGGCCATCAAAGTTTCTTGGTCAGATGTGACTTTTAGAATATTTTCAAATGGCCCGTCAATTGAGGCTAATTCATTTATATCTATTATGCAACTCGACTTGTGGAGTTCCTCCCGCCACGACAATCTACAATTGGCAATATTTCATTAAAATAATGTCAAAGATGTTGAACGAGTTGAAGCTATATTTCTCTCCTTACATTTCACTGATCGACTGATCGACTGATTTTTTTCCACCAACAGCTGCAAAATAAATTAGTCAAATAAAAACAAATTTAAAAATGTTGAAAATTTTTGCAGCCGCTACTCACTCGAATCATATTCAGTTATTGTCAACTGACAATCTATCGTTTGAGGCATTCTCATATTATAAATGTTCATTTTGGAAATAATCAAGCATATCTGGTGGCTTAAATATTTTGTCACATCCATTAAATCATTGTGTAATTTAGGGCTGTTGATCAAAATTCTAGAAAGTTATGTTTGATTTAAAAAAAAAACAAATTATCAATATATAATCATGTTATGTTTCAAATATCAAATTCTGTTGGTGTACTTATTGAGAGTTGCACAGATGACGTCAAAGGGTAGCGTGTAGGGAAGACTGAGAAATGACAATAGTTTGATGCTTTTGTGTTTGAATAACCAATTGATAATGCCTTTATTTGCCGAATCTATGGCATCTTGGAATATTGTCATAACGGTTTCGGGTAAATTGGCTACTAATGCTTCCTGAAAAAAAAATAAATAAATAAATAGGAAATTTATATTCATATTACAACAATGACGTGGGAAGCTTACCTGACGGTGAATTTTACACTCTTTACACTCAGGATCATACTCCATACTATCGTCCAAAGTTTCCGAAACTACAAAAGTTGATTGTACAGCTAGGCAGCGTGTACAATTTATCAGGTTATTTCGCTGAAGAAATCGGAGTGCATCGTCAAATCCTTGTTTACACATATGAGAGAGTATCTGCAGCGAAAAAGTATGAAATGAATGAATGCAAATCTAAATGTGCATGAAATTTATTATTAACTGTTGAAACATTAGTCACCTCTGGGTTTGGTGGGAAGAGTATTCTAGCAAATCTGTATATATTTTGGCGCGACAATTCGATACTTGTATTGGATAAATTCACATGAAACAATTGAGATGAAATGTCTCGTGGACAAATATCACTTTCACCACAAAAAGGACTGATTGTTATTGTATTTTCATCCAATGTTGGTAAATTATCACTGAAACCTCCATCCATATAGCGAATCCCACGGAACCTTGGAGGTAAAAGTCCCGAAAACAAGGGAACAAATGAACTAGCCAGCAATGCCTAGAATAATAAACATTAAATTTCCATCTTTTCCCCTGATTTCTAAATAAATGATGATAATAATAATAATAATAATAATAATAATAATAATAATAATAATAATAATAATAATAATAATAAAAATATTAAAAAAAGAAAAAAATATATATATATATTACTTGCAACAAATCTTCGCGTGAATTGAATTGCGATACGATTACATTCTTTCCATCGTAAACTCGTGTCAATGAAATGTGCAATTTTCCACTAACTCGTATGTGTGCATCATTTGGAAGATACTGAAATAAATTAGTGAATAATGGTCATTAAGTGATAAAAAATACGTGGAAAATGATCAATTTTACCTTCTGCAAACTCTCCAATAATATTGTTTGTACATTGAATGAAGGGCTGAAAGGCCCAAGGGCTTTCTTTCTTGCTTCTTTCGCTAATTTCAATAGATGACTCGTAAATGTTCCTGCAATAACATAAGATTAATATCAAACATCAACCGTTAAATAGACTGCTATCAATCAATGAAGATAATTATCAAAGACAATATCTGGCGCATAAATAAGGAACTTTGATCAACATGTTAGTTTCTATTTATATGGAATAATGTATCGTATGCTTTCTAAGCTTGACCCATTTATCGCTACTGTATCTACTCAAGTGAATGCGTAATATAAATATGTAATGTATAAGTTCATTTTGCATGCTATTGTTACTACAAGTATGTGTGTGTGTGTGGTGAGTATTATATTATCCTTTAAGGAAAATTGAAAAAAGAAGAAAAAAAAAATTCTGTCTTCATTATGAGAGAATTTAGTAAAGATATTTCAACATTTATCAATACCATGCACTGAGTATAAACAAAGAAATAACAAGTGATCACAAGTTCACTCACCGAGGGGTAAATCACAAAGAAGACAACAGGCAGCCATCGCGCCAGCTGAAGCTCCGCTTATTTTATCTAAGAGTAAATGCGGAGCATATTTCTTAAAACATACAGCAACACCAACATGATAAATTCCCAAAAATCCACAGCCCGCAAAGGATAAATTCATTCTTGTATTGTTTTTTTTTTATTTCATAAAATTTTTCCCTGTCTTCGTTTCGTACGCAATCAAAAATCTAATAAGACAAGATACCAAACAAGTTCTGAAAAAAAAACGATTGCCGTGAATGTATATGTATAATTAGTATAAAAAATATCTTACAGTTACAATGCTACATAAAATAAATGGTAACAACGAATTCCACTCAGTCTAACCTCAATTTTATTTTGACAGTTGTTTGAAATATTCAATAATATGGATTCGTCTCTGACATGAGCATTATTTAAAACTGATAATCAAAATATGTTGACATTTATATTTCATCTATAGTAAATGAATGACTGTGATTCAGAGCAAATAAACACATCGATGCGATTAGAGTTATAATACTGCGCGACGGTGAATGCGATACACGATACACTTTGTATATATTATACTGAATGAATGCTGAATGCTGAAAGTTATTATACCACCAAACCATTGGCTCGTTTAACGCGACTCAAGGTTCGGCTCTCTGATCGTACCATATCATATCAGTAAAAGCTAATGATAATAAAAAAATACTCTACTGCAGATTATATATATATGGAAAGGTGGCGTAATAGTTTGCTATCATCTATTATGTATGACGTAGGTAGGAGTTTTGAAAATATTTATTGGCCATGCACGTATGAGAAAGGTCATAATTGTTTTCGTGTATATACTATATACAAACTTACAACACTCAAATCTACCAGTACAGATAAAAAATAAAGATACTGGCTACGCTTATCATAATCCATCATGATGAAGCTTTCAATAAATTGATAAGACAACAATGAAAGCAGGCAATGACCATAATTACATTTATTGGTACATTTATGAGTAGCGCTAGGCAAAGAAAAAGAAGAAAAGAAATTTACTGACTTATATAATAGTTATATGAAAATGAATAATTACAACGGATTGGTCGTGAATGAAAATTTTATATATATATATATACAAACAACATATACATAGATACATGTAAATAAATATGATATGACTATTATTCCGCCGTTATCGCAGTGGAATTTGCAAGCGATACCTCATCAAGAACTTGATTCATTTGCACTTCGCGCTGATCCATTAAATCTGATAATTTTTCAAGTTTCTTCTCCAATAATACATTTTTCAAACTTGTTTTTTGTTGAAGTTCCAAAATCGATGAGACAAACCTCGAGTGCAATTCGTCACGTTCGTCTTGACATTTTTCAAATCTCAATTCCAATACTTCATTTTCCCATTTCAAGTTTTCATAATCTTTGGAGATCGAAGCAAGCCTTCTTTTTGTATTCTATATAAGAATGAAAAATTATCATCAATATGAGGGGCAAAAGTTATATTCAACAATTGATATATATGTAACAATTTTAATGTCATTGGGGCACTCACAATTAAACAGGATTTATCCTTTTCATAGTTTGTCAGTTGACGAATCAAATCTGCAACATGTTCTTCACATTCTTTCAAATTTATGCACAATTTTTTGTTCTCTGTTACTGATTCTCGGACTTGTTTCTTCATGCGTTCTTCATTATTCTTCATTATTTCCATTTGATTCTGAAATAAAGCAAAAAGACTTTGGGCGATGGCCGAAAATAAATACAATCTCTGACATATCAATTGGCAAGGAATTTCAGTAAAGATCACCTTTAAACTTTGCATGAGAGACAAATTGTTTAATGTGATGTCATTATAATATGACTTGATACTTGCAAAGGCCTTCTCATGCTCTTTTATTAAATTTGATATCTGTATGTTTTTTCTCTCTTCAACTTCTGTTATCTCCATACGATGCTTCAAAATTAATGACTCATATTGTGTCATTAATTTTTCTTCATATTTCTTCTCAAGTTCCATAGCCTCACATTGAAATTTCTTCATTAATGCACTGGTTTCTTGGGCATTTTTCTGTGAATAAAATATAAATATAAAATATAAGTGTAATGAGTGAGAATGAAGTTGATGAAATGATAAAGGTTCACTTTATCTCGCTTACCAATTTAACGTCTCGAATTTCATTGATACAAGTTAATTCTTGATTCTTTTGAATTTTACGCAGATCACTTTTATCTTTTATAAGTTGCCTTTCTTCGTCATTATGATTATCCTGTGAAATCTTCAGAGCAACCATATGTTCTGCCTTGGTTTCCGATAAATTCGTCTCATGTTCATACATCAAATGTTTGATTTTTTGTTTGTACAATTTTATCTCAGCTTCGTGTTTCTCCATTAATTCTTCTTTTTCTCTCTCTTTATTCCTAAAGTCCGTGGAATAATTAACATTATTAAATTATTAATATTATTTTTCCGCTGATGTACCTAATAGCTGCTCGTGCTTCATCCAGCTGATGTCTTGTTATTTCCCAAAAAGTACGTAATTTATCTCTTTCAAGTTGAAAAAAATTTCTCTCCTCGCGCTCCCTCTCCATTTCCTCGAGAATTTTATGAGAATATAGCTCTAGTTGTTCTCTACTCATTTTCGATGTATCTACACCGTCTACAGAATCCATCATTTTGCCCTTTGCCTTTTTTGGCCCCTGAAAATTATATTTCGAATAATGAATTGAGCAATGCTACATTCTCATTGACATTTCGTAGTATATTTTGTACGAGCAGAAAACTCACCATATTTGTTTGGTTGTTTTTTTTTCACGGTGAAAAAAAAAACGGTGATTTCAAAATTTATCCAACCGAGTGAATTAGCAGATAAATGTGATGAACAAATTTATTGTTGTCGTGGGTGTAAAGAATAAAAAAAAAGGTTATTAGAGATGGTTGGAAGAAAGTAATTATGTATTGTGAGTGTCGCTAGGCAACATTGCTATCTACGTCTGTGTAAAGAATGCAGCATATATGAAGAAGGCAATTGGATAGGTGGATTTTAAAAAAATGTTTTCATTCATCGTAGTGATAAACGTAGAAAAAATTTTATTTCTCCACTACAATTAATATTTTCCATTAAATCATCACTCACAGTCTGAAGTATTAATTAATACAACAAATAAATTGTTTGATTTCTTTTTATTTTTCCCACAGAGTAACCGCTTAACATTTTGTGCCCTCAATTTAAAATATCACAATGATAATAATCATTTACCTTCAATATTTTATTTTATAGTTTCATCTTTACTTTGTTCGTGAAAATAACTGTGGGCGTATTTTTAAGAGATATGATAAATTAATTAATCGGAAATAAATAACTGCCTCTTTAAGACATCCGGTTGTGATACTTAATCAACGAAGGAAAACTCACTGGAATGCTAAACGTAATTATTATCAAATCATATTCCATTAAATCTGACTACTCTCATTATTGAATTGCAAAAGACATCCTACAGCACCAAAATATCCCTTGAACAAACAAAATAATACATTTCAAATAATTCATCATTGACGTGTTTTTTTGTTTTCTAATTTCGTAATAACATTATTATTATTATTATTATTATTACCTCGTGTTCTAAAAATAGTGCTTTCATAGTACCATTCGACCAGTAATCCATGGCATAAGCTAATAATTTCATGGATATGGGGTTTACTCGCAAAAAGTTTCCAACAAACACTACCTATACAAAGGCAAATTTAAAATAGATGAAATTTTTTTTTATAATAAAAATAGAATATTTCATGATCATGTCATACATACTTTCTCGACTTTTTCATTGACCGCGCACATGCGTGCAATAGATCCAATATTATTTGTTATGGTTACAAGAGTGGCTCGTGCTAAATCCTCTTTGCTGACGGCATTTCTGCGATCCTTTAAATTCATTTGACCGAAACTGCACACATGGAGAAGACTTAACATACAGGGATTCTGTGTTAGATTTAGAAAGAGACTAACGAAATGGTCGACGGAAAAAATAAAAATAAAATAACAAACGGACAAGAAGCCAGAAATAAGGAAAAATAAAAATTTAAACGTGTTGGAAAATATGGGGTTTATAGAGAGAAAGAATCACTTATTACCTGCTGGCCACCAAGTCCCCAGGAAGACCAAAACGTCCATAATCCCCACCATAAATATCTTTAACTAATTTATCAACCCGTGTGTTATCACCTCCTGTTGCAAGCTGGATAGCTTCTTCAAAACTATTACAGCCGGTAAGTAGGCAGCACAATCCAAGAAACGTCCCACCGCCCAAACTCGTTCCCGATATCCTTTTATAATTATTTGGACCATATACTATTAAAATACCAACTCCAGAGCCTATATTCACAAGCTACAATAATTGAAAGAATATTAATAATTGATAATAAATAATAATAATAATAATAATAACAATAATAATAATTATTATTATATGAGAGCCTCACCAAAAATGGATATGGCTGGGAGAAATCAAATGGAACTTTATGACAAAGATCATCCTCAGTGGGATGGCTCCAGTAATAACATTCACGAGGATTTGTCATTTCAATATAAAGCATCCCACGTATTAAACTGTCCAGTTCATCAAACTTTGCAAGACTCATATTGACTTCCTGAGAAATATCATAGTTCAATCATTCACTGGATATTAACATTGTCAGAAATTCACAGTAGTACATACTTTTTTGAAATTTTCTTCAAATTTAAAAGCACCACCGCCTGTGGCACAGACAGTTGTCACAAGATTGGCCATTCCTTTTGATTTGGCAAGTGCTAAAAAATTACCCATTTCGCTTGTCGGAAATCTGATGAAATGCAGCGTCCCTCTCCTACCCCGAATTTCAATATTATCCATCTGGAATAATTATTCCAGAATGAGTCAACATAATATTTATTCAATCATCATAGTTTGATGGTTTCATTACCTGAAGATGTGTATCACGATGACCTGTTTTTCCATACGCTGAATTTTTAGTTAAATATCTTCTTATATTTTTCAGAGTTTCAAGTTCAGCATCCGCCTCATCTCTTGTAATATCTTTTGGTTCAAAGTAAACCAATTTGCATAGAGTCCCACCAATGTCCATTCCAAACCAAGGCATTGCTATAGAATACGAATGAAAAACAAAGTAGATTCGGTCGATAAGTATAAACAATTGAGTATAAAAAGTCATATTTTTAATACTGATGAAGAAATATGTGTTTGATACTTGAAAAGCCAAAAAGCAATGCAATTCCAGAATAATAATAAAAATAACAACAATAACAACAAAAACTAACTATATAGATACTCCAACAACTAATCTAAGCACACATACAATTCACCGACTCACAGGGTGGTGAGTGAGACTCGTTGGATTGTTGTGATGCAGAAGCGGGATAGCCATTAGCTGCCATGGCTGCGTCTGGACTGTCGACATTAAGTTTACAACTGTGAGGACTCATAATTCAACTCAAATTGCCTCATTGTTTCATTCTCAGGTGCAATGATAATTCTTGTTTCTTCCTGCAATCAAATTCAATATTTCTTCATTTTTTGACAAAAAAAAAGAAAGAGAAAAAAAACTTGTTATCAAATTGCAATAAATCTAGTTCTCTAATTTCTTCGTTTCCCTGTATTTGGTTGTGTTTCAAGACCGACTATACCGTTGATCTTTGGTACATAGTTTGATGTCAAGGGTTACTCTTAAATTATTCACATTGAAAACAGGAAGTCACGTTAAAAGGTTGTATATGTGCAAATGAAGTGGAGAATAAAAAAGCTCTCAATCAGAGGAGAATACAATATTGACTTACTATGGCGATATTAATTAATTTATGAGACACTTTTCAGTAGATATTAACAGGATCTAGTGCAGTACTTTTTTATGAACAATTATTAATAAATATATACGGGGATTGATGCAATTCAACTGACAATAAGAATTTTGTACGGACGACTAACTCAATGATCAAAACATTAGTCTATTCAATAATTATCATTGTCGCCCACTATATAGTTTTCATCATAACAGTATGTTTATCTGATTTCTCTTATCTTTATCATTATCATCTCATCATCATTGAAAAACAATTATACATCAGCCATTAACTTATCGTAATGTTAAATACTTTAATTTCATTATTTATCAACATTTAATTTTAGATAGTATTTGTACTTACGATTTTTTTATCTCCAAGTGTATAACTTTCATTTGATGTTATGTATTATCTAGGCTTCAATAGACTTGTAAACTTGTCAAGATGTTCTTGACTACGTGTCAGAGCTCGGTCTGTCAGTGACTATTCACAAGTTGAAAAAAAAACCAACCAATCTCCACTTTATTCAAGACAAGAGAGGCATGGAGGTTATATTATCCACGTAATTAATGATATGCTTTCAATATTTTGTTCTTCGTTTCTTTTTCTTACAGTAGTACATGTTACGTTGGTCGTTTTTTCTAAAAAAAAATATATATATATAATAATAATAATAATAATAATCAACAAGATGAGTGTACTACAATCAATTATTCAAAGTAATTGTATTTTTTCGTGCATGACCACTGGTTTATCATACTCTATTTCTATTCTAAGGATTGTATCATACACGTACCATAAATTGGTTAAGAACAAATAATTCTATTTACACCGCTGTTCATTGATGATAATAAAAATGAATATAAATGTGCAAGCAAGGAAATCTATAATCCGCATGCGCAACATCATTAAAAAAAGAGAAGTATATATATAATAATATCGCACGATCTTGACCACGTGATGGAAACGTGTGCGCGCATACCATCACGCGTTTACAATTTCAATATTTTTCTTATTTGAAACTTTTTTTTTTTTTTTCAAGTTTTCGTAAGCAATGGATTTTTGTCATTACATTTTTACATAACATTTTTACAAAATAAGTATGCAAGAATCTGCTCTGATATGTACTTATAGATTGATATATCATTTAAGCCTATGACATATTGGCCCATCTATTTCAAAACATATATCCAGTATTTGTTCATCTACCTTATATAATCTGATAATGAGGGAAAATGAAAAGAGCAGGTAATAAGAAGAAAAACACACAACAAGTCATTTGTCTTGATTTATTGAAATGTATGAAAAATTGATGAAAAATACATCAAGTGGACATGCGATTAATTTGCAGAGCACCATGTAAAAGCATTGTGGAAAATCTTGAGCCACGGTGATGTTTGATTAGTCCAGGAGGGTGGAACATAAGGCCACTGCCACATTTGAGTACATCTCTCTGGATGTGGCATCATTGCCAAGTGTCGTCCATTTGGCGAACAGATGGCTGCAATACCATCTAAACTGCCATTTGGATTGAGTGGATAAGTTTCAGTTGGATTACCATCATCATCGACATATTTAATTGGTAAGCATTGATTTTCTCTGAGTTGATTGAGAATATAATTATTGCGGAATGTGAATCTTCCTTCACCGTGTGCCACCCAAACACCCATAACAGTATTCTCCATGTCTTTCAACATGATAGCTGGAGATTTTTCAATTTTCACGGATGCCCATCGGCATTCAAATCGTTCAGAGTCATTGTGATCTAGTACAATGTTAGGTTGCTGATTAGGAGTAGAGTCATTGAGACAGCCAATCCATCCGAGTAGACTCATTAATTGACAACCATTACAGACACCCAAACTAAATGTATCATTTCGATCAACAAATGCATCAAGCTGTTTACGTAGAGTAGGTTGAAATAGTAGAGTAGCTGCCCAACCCTTGGCTGAACCAAGAACATCGGCATAGCTGAATCCACCCGGAAATATAATACCTCTAAATCTATCGAGTGTCATTTTATTTTCAAGTAGATCCTGCATTGTAATATCCCATACTTGAAAGCCAACTTGTTTAAGAGATGCAATCATTTCTCTGTCGCCATTTATTCCTTCTTCGCGAATAACAGCGACAGGTATTTTAGAGCTGATGAATAATGACTCGAGTTTCGGTAATGAGGGAATGTCTGGATTGAATGTCAGCGTGTACATTGGAGTTTTACGATTTTTTAATAATTTGAATTCATCCTCAGCACATTTGATATTAGTTTGACGACGTTCAAGTTGATAACTGGTTTCTTCCCAGATTGACATCAGTGAGATGACAGTCGATTTAACATGTATTTTGTCATTGACTGAAATAATAATATCAGAATTGAGACCGAGACCAGAGGACTGGCCAATCTTGTATATTGGTGCATGTAATTTTTCAAATGTATTCATTACTTCATCAACATCATTTTCATCGACTTCCAATATCCATCCAACTTCCTCGGCAAATAGTATTTCGATGGGTGAATTATAATTTTCATGTTTATGCAAAATATTTACATTAATTCCCGATATTCCAGCGAATGACATTTCAAGTAGGCAGGTAATTAGGCCACCATCACTAATATCATGACCAGCTAGAATTTTGTCCTTTTCAATTAAAGCTTGTGTTGCTTGAAAGGCATTGACAATACTTTGGGGATCTTCAACATCAGGTGTTGAATTACCAAGTTGACCGTACACTTGAGCCAATGATGTACCACCAATTCTATTATGGCCTTTAGATAAATCAACAAATAGAAGAGAGCCAATTTTACCCTTGGCTGGAGATTTCAAATCAGGTGTTATAACAGCCCCTATATCTGGACATGGTGCATAGCAAGATATGACAAGTGTACCCGGTGATTTAACAATTTCACTGCCAACTCTAGCTGCCATACTCAATGAATCTTTTCCCCCATCAATGGCAATGCCCAATTGTTTCATCAATTGGCACATTGCTTTGCAGGCCTCATAGAGTCCAGCACCTTCACCACGTAGTTTTGCTGGCCACATCCAATTTCCACTGCATTTAATATCTCTGATGTCAGTAATTTTGGCAAAAACAATGTTAGTAATTGCTTCAGCAACAGTCATTCGTGCACCAGCAGCAACATTAATCAGACCCTTTATTGGTTGTTCACCAATTGACGATGCTATTCCAACATTTGAAAAATGAGAAATTGCTGTGACAGCAACATCAGCTAGCGGAGTATGAAGTGGTCCAATACACTGTTGTTGAGCAATCAAACCCGTAACACATCTATCCACCTTATTAGTCAGATATCTTTTACTAGCAACTGAGGGTAATCGTAAAACTCGCTCCAAGGCAGCATCAACTGTCAAATTATTTGGCAAAATCAGTGGCTCATTATGCAATTGTTCTCTCTGCAATTGGAATATCTTTTGTGGCATTTTACCAAGTATAAATTCAAGGTCAAGATCAACTGGATGCCTAATCATATTATTATCATCATCAACATGATCATTCAAGTATTTACTAGAATTGGGATGATCTTCCTCTGATAAGATGATTTTACCAGAACCAGTGACAGTGCCAACAAAATTAATAGGACATTTTTCACGTGCAGCAATTTTCTTCAAAAGATGAGTGTCTTTTTTATGGCATAGAATGGCATTATTCTCTTGATACTCAGCGCCCCATAATTCCATGGTACTGATACTAGGATCGCCCAATTCAAAATTTTTCGTAAATATTACAGCTCCGGCAGGTTCAACAATCTCCTTCAAAACATTACCATTACCTCCAGCTCCTTGATCATGAATACTCAAAATTGGATTATTTTCAGCCATTTCTGTGCAGGCACGTACAAAACGATTCAATTTTTGTTCCATTTCCGGATCACCCCTCTGGACTGCTCCAAAATCAAGTTCACAAGCATTATCACCTTGTACTGCAATTGAACTTGCTGAGCCACCACCAACTCCTATTCGGTACACTGCTCCACCAATTTTCACCACTTCCATACCTTTTTCAGGTTTCAATTTTTCAATCATATTACCATCAACTGTCCCCAATCCTCCGCTAAACATTATTGGCTTTATCCATTCTTTTCTTGTTCCTCGTTTTTTATCTGTCATACCAAAAGTTCGAGCGAAACCACAAATTACTGGCTCACCAAATTTATTTCCATAATCAGAGGCTCCATTACTTGCTTCTATAATTATCTCGATTGGACTTGCCATATTGCTAGGATAAATATCATCTTTGTTTAACACTTCCCAGGGTAGCTGATAATCAGGAATATGAAGATTTCCAACAGAATAACCGGCAGTACCAGCAATATAGTATCCACCTCTTCCGCAACCTTGAATATCTCGTAGACGACCTCCAGTTCCTGTTGTTGCTCCACTAAATGGAGCAACACCAGTAGGAAAATTGTGCGTTTCCGCAGTAAAAATAAGGTGTTTCTTGATATTTTTCAATGTCAATTCACTGCAAATGTCTGTTGCATTTGGCACTAATACATCAACACTGAAACCTTCGATGGCGCTACTATTATCGGCAAACTTTATCACGTTGTTTGAATTTGAATGATTTTGCGTATCAGTAATCATATCGAAAAGTGTTTTTTCCTCTTCTTTGCCATCAATCAACATTTTCCCTTTGAAGAACCAATGGCGACTGTGCTCGCTATTCGATTGAGCCAAATCGAAACATTCGACACTCGTTGGATTGCGTTTCAATCTATCTTTGAACAAATTTGTGTAGAAATCTAAATCCCAATTGTCGAAGGCAAGACCTAAAATTAAACTCAACTAAATAAATATATTCAATCATTACTGTTGAATATATTTTTTTAATGCAGTGTTACAAAAAAATAATCACCAAGTTTTGAATTGACATCCTCAAGTGCCGATCTTCCATTATGCAAAATATCTACTTCGAACCAGCTTTCCGGTCTAAATCCATGATCAAATGATTCAAGTGGTTTTAAGTATCGACATTCTGTCATTCTGTCATGAAGTACATTTACAATCTGTTTAATCAATATATATATATAGATATCAACTTTCATCTATTCATAAATTTATATATAATAAATAAAAACAACCATGTTATTATGATTTTAAAAATTACTCACCGCGTTTTCACATGTTTTGTCTATTTTTCCATGACATTTGATGAAATATCTCGTGGATACTTCTAATCTGGTAATGCTCCTGAGTTCAAGGGATTTACAAATCGATACTGCATTGCTTGAAAATGGTGTGGAGAAATTCAATCTGAAAATAGTAGTACAATGCATAATATGTTGTTTTTAAGAAGGTAATAAGGAATAGAAAAGAAAAAAAAAGAAAAAAATATCATACACACATACCGTGGTCCAATTTCAATGATTATATGGCAATCCGATTGCTCTACAAAGCTCGATGTATTGATATTTTGCAATTGGAAGGGTGGACTGAGTATCCACGTGAGCTGATTAATTTCATCTTTTGACAATTGCAGTGTACTTTCCACATAATAACATAATTCAGTTTCTACAGTAGCAACGAGACTCGATATCGCAGTCACGGCATTAATTTTATTAGTTAACTGACCCGACAAGAGTCCAGGACTCTTGTAAAATCGTTGAATTACCATGCTGGATATTGTGTCACGTGGCGATTATAATTAATAATATTAACACGCCTCACTCTGATTTAGAACACTAATCAAAAATAATACAATACAAGCTATTGAACGCGCTGGATTGAGTTCTCTCAATATGAGAGCTAGAATAAACAGCACACTACAGTTTTAATTACGTTCGAACACGATAAACAATATTAAATGATGAAAGAGTTGAGAGGTCAGATTTGCCAATCTTCTTATCACGAAAAATAAGTATTTTTCCTAATGCACGTATATTCTAAGATTTTAATGTTGAAACATGTTAGCCATCAATAGATTCTTTTGACTATTTTTTCATTCTCTACTTTAATAAAATGTGTTGTACAAAATTGTATAAAAGTTTGCTATATATATTTTCTGTTTCCCATTATGTGTAAGAGAATTACGTCAGCCGCGTGTCCCATCTTCCATAGAAGATATTGTGGTGGTGTGGATTCTTGACGCACGTGAACGGCCCTATTCAAAATACGGTACTATATATATATATATATATATATATATATGTATACTATGTCAAAGAGGGAGAAAGACAATTGGCAAGACATGCTGCTGCTATATGTATACCAAATTTTTTCTATCGAAATTATTGAAGATAATTTAAATGATGATTCATCACTGATACTCATGGATTCGTAATTTTACAAATTAATAGAAAAATTCAACGCGGTAGGGGCCTATCATAATCCATTGCTTTTGGGTTCTATTTTATTGATTATAATAATATAATAATAATAATGTCCAATATTGAAAAATCATTGGTATTTGTCATTGTATATTGAGTAAATGAGAATTCAATGAGTTATGTGCATCAAAGTGACCAAGTTTGTGGGTTTGCAATAAAAAATGTTCTATAGAGAGAAGATTTCATGACATTGAGTATTGAATGTATTGAAAAAAATTCAATGATATCGATGATTATTAATAAGTGAATACCATGCTGCAGAAGGGAATGCATGCTAAAAAAAAGGGAATGTGTGTGATCTAGTCTAGTTATAAAATACACGACTATGGTGCGCTTGACTTGAATAAACCCGCTTAAACTACCAATGATCATCGCCTACACATGCAGCAGACGACATTTTGTAAAATTGAGTATTATTCCAAGCGTCAACGTTAAGCTCTCTGGCGGCTACTAACCTCAGCTGACTGGGGCCTCATGGCCAATGAGAGATTAGGGATACTCTTGACTGACCAATGGCAGATCCTAGTCAGTTAAGGCTAGTAGGAAAGATATTGTGTTGGCGAACTGTACATCCCTTTCCGTTTCCATTTTATTATTTCTTCTCGCCTCGCTGACCCCAAGTGCCCACAGTCCTCCACTCCTCCTTGGAACACCTCGCGTTGCCCCCTCGTAATTCTACACCTGCACAGGAGCCGTTATTGTCGATTAATACGTGCAACAGAGTAAGTTCATTTTTAAATATATTCTCATGAATTTTTTGACATTAGAAAATATATTGCACACTAATTCTCACTATGTATTTGTATGTTTGGTACAATTAACGCCGTGAGTTGCCCGGCGAGGGTAATGAATTAAGCCCGAGAGAAGTTGAATAGTTTGAGGGAAAATGTGATTTGAGATTTTTTCTAGTACCAGCAACAGCCATCGTGGTCTTTCACTTAACCTTGCGTTATTATTGTCCGTCCGTCCGTAAATTGTGTTATTTGCATTTTTAATTAATAATAAGAAATCATTTTCGAGCTATTTGGAATAATAATAATAATAATGATACACAGGGATATTTGGTTTTTTTAATAATAATTTTTTTTCCCCACATTATTTGTCATTTCAGAAGGTTATTGTATGAGTCAGAAAATTGAAAAGCCAGTACTATCAGGTCAACGTATAAAGACCAGAAAGAGAGATGAAAAAGAAAAATATGATCCAACTGGATTCAGAGATGCCATTCTACTGGGTTTGGAAAAGGCTGGTAACGATCTAGAGGCGGTTTCCAAGTATCTCGACACCGCAGGTTCAAAACTCGACTATCGTCGTTATGGTGAAGCATTATTTGACATTCTCATTGCCGGGGGTCTCCTTGTACCGGGCGGCTCCATTGCTTCAGACGGTGATAAACTTGTCAAGACTAAAGCCTGTGTATTCGAACAACCAGAGGACATGGAGTCGTTGAAGAATTATGAACAAGTTTTTATAAAGTTGATGCGTCGTTACAAATACTTGGAGAAAATGTTCGAGGAGGAGATGAAAAAAGTACTAGTATTTATCAAGGGCTTCAGCCCTCAAGAGAGGAAAAAATTGGCTAGGATGACAGCTCTGTGGATATCAAATGGTTCAGTTCCACCAACTGTTCTCTCTGTACTCATTAATGAACATCTCGTTAAAGATAATCTTGCCCTTGACTTTCTTCTCGAAGTATTTGTAACATGGAAAAATGAGAAAGGATTACCAAGTTTAATGACTGCACTGAAGCGTGGTGGGATTGAAGGTAAAATGATGGAATTTGTACCGCCTAATAAGAGGACTGAAGAGTATTTCCGTTCAACTTTTGAGACGGTCGGACTGGCTGATATCGTTAAACTCCACAAAGCTCAGGCAAGTCAAGAAGCAAAGCGTGATCTCCAACAGCTTCTTATTGATGACTTGGCTGATAATCGACCCATCAAAGACATTGTCCTTGATCTCAAAGAAATGGCAGTCAAGAGTTGTATTCCCGAACACGAAGTCATAGGTCTCATTTGGGGAGTTGTTATGAGCCAAGCTGAATGGAATAAGAAGGAAGAACTCGTTGCTGAACAAGCCCTTAAGCATTTGAAAATTTATACACCACTTTTCGGCGCATTCACTACCACTGCCAGATCCGAACTCGCTCTTATACTCAAGGTTCAAGAGTTTTGCTATGAGAATATGAATTTCATGAAAGTCTTCCAAAAAATTGTCCTGCTCTTCTACAAAAGTAATTTCATTTTAATTTATTATAAATTATAAATTCATCTTGCATTCATAACCATATTGTCATTTATTCATCTTGAATTTTTTCAGAGGACGTTATTTCGGAGGCGGTAATAATGAAGTGGTACAAGGAGGGACATTCGCTCAAAGGCAAAATGCTGTTTTTGGACCAAATGAAAAAATTCGTCGAGTGGCTGCAAAATGCCGAGGAGGAATCTGAATCGGGTGAAGACGAAGACTAAAGTAGGTTCTTCTTCACCTCTCCCCCTCATTCCTACTACTTAACAATGTGAATCTAAAGAGAGACAATTTATCATTAAAACAAAAAATAATGCTAATAAATTGTGCGATGCGAGCAAGCGAAAGAAAACATTTTTTTTTTTTCAATTGAATGATGAAAATTTTCGTTGTCTTCATTTTCAAAATGATGAATTTCAGCATTCTCCTCTCTAGATACCTCCAAGAGTGCATATTTCGATACAAATAATGATTTTAAAAAATGTCAAAATAATCCTGTCCGAAATTTGTTTCAAAATGAGTAATTGCCGACGGAAAATCAATAAAAAACAAATAATTGACAAGTATGCATGGGTGATGGGTGAATTAATTAAAGAGTAAATAAAACAAAAAAATAAATGAGTAAATAGAAAAAATGCCAATTGTACAATTACACAATTCCCTAACAGAAAATACTGTGAACAATAAAAAAAAATGAAGATAACAACTGAAATTGTATACATACACGAGTAATAAATTAAATCAATTTACAAAAACGAGGACTAAATTGATTACGAATGGCAGAAAAGCATTATGTGAAACCACAGTATGATCATTTTCCCGCGCCAATATCAATTGTAAATTTTTCACATAACAACAACAATAATAATAATAATAACAACAATTATTATAATGATAATAATAAGAGGGAGAAGAAATATTTTGTGCTATACTTTTATAAACTCGGCTACAAAATATATACAGATATAAACTGTTTAAAATGCGCTCACTCAATGTGTGTTTCTTTGAGTCATTATTTTCATTGGCAACAATTCAATTTTTTATTACTAGTTGCATTTATATTTATAATCTCTCATATCAGCAATCTTTTGCTTCTCAATAACATTTTTTCCATTCATAAAGGGTACAAGTTTCTCGGGAATTTGTATCTTACCATCTTTAGTTTGAAAATTTTCACAAATGGCAATTATAGTACGAGGTATAGCGCACGCTGTTCCATTCAACGTATGAACATATTTAGATTCACCATTTACAGTTCTATATTTAATATTAAGTCTCCTTGATTGATAATCCGTACAGTTACTGCAACTCGATAATTCACCAAAAGCTTCCCGGCCTGGTAACCAGCCTTCAATATCGAATTTTCTGAATAAAAAAAATTAATAAATAAATTCACTATTTTCAATTATTATGGTTTCCAATAGATGATAATGATGATGAATTTTGTGACAATACAAGTACTCTCACCTATAGGCTGGAGCGCCCAAATCGTGAGATGGCATGTCTATTATTTTGAAAGGCAATTCCAATTCTGTGAACAGTCGTTCCTGAATTTCAGTCAGCTCTTTGAAAATATTATCTGATTCACATTCTTTTGTGCAGGCAAACATCTCCACTTTGGTAAATTGATGAACCCTATTAAAGTGTTAAAATTTCAATTAGATGTATACAACTTGAAATATGTATCAATGGATTGGCACTGATCAATATATACCTATAAATTCCCTGTTCTTCAGCAGAATTTGATATTTCGGCTCTGAAGCAGCGGCTAACTGCCGCCAATTTGAGGGGTAAGTTGTTTTCAAAGTCAATATTTGAATTGATGAGTTTTGTTGCCAAGGCCATTTCAGCTGTTCCCGACAAACTGAGATCATCTCCATACAAGTCATCGAGTGAATAAATAAGAGTTCGTTCACCATCCACAATCATGCCACATTTTTCAATGACTTGTGTTGGTAATACATCTGGCACTGATATTAATTTAAAACCATTATGCATAAGTCTGCGAATGCTGTATTGAATCAAAGCTTCCTCCAATTGAGCAACATCTCCCAATAATATGTAACTTTTATCTCCAGCTATTGGGCCCAAATCTTCCATTCGTAATAATTTCAATGATTTTGCCAATTCAATAAATGTTTTTTGTTTGAAATCATGCCTTGTCGAATACTTTGTACATTCTTTTATAATTTTGCCTTCGTTTCCATACTCCAATACCTTTGGAAATGTAAAATTTGGTATTTTATTGAGCTCTTTAGCCAACTCAATTGTTCTTTCCATTTTGTCAACTGTGGAATTATTCGTGGAGAGTTGCAAAATTTTATCCACATCACCAATACCCTTTCTACATTTTATATTCATTGCAATAGCTTCACGATTCTTTGAATCGCACAATAAGTCAGTGTTGAAATTTGTCTCCGGTATACTGAGCTTGGATGATGATATTATACGCGGCTCTTTTCTATTACGCTGTGAAAAATTCATTAATTTTTATACCCGAATCCTGTTCTCTTTCTACTTCTTCTTCTTCGAGTAATAATAATAATAATAGTCATGCTTAAAAAGATAATCTCTCACCACGAAATGCATTAAATTCCTCTTAAAGGCCATGTTATCAATAATTATTTCCAACTATTACGCCAAGTGTGTACTGCATACCATGCATACGAACTATATAACGTGAACCTAACCTGAAATTGAAAAACCACAATTACACAGACCATTGCTAATGGATAATCCTACAGTAATAATCCCTTTTCCATTCATTTAATATAATGATATTTTGTCAGTCGACTACAAACATGAGTGTAACAAGTATTGAACAAGATGACTCTGTTGATGGCAAGAAGTACATGTCAGCTTACCAAAGTTTGACATTCAATTTAGCCCGACAATGTGAAAATAATTCTGATGGCTCGAGGATTACTTTGGGTTTTAAATACCTCAACAATCGATCGCTGTGAGTATATCATTTCTTTTCTTGCAAGAATTTATGTGTCGAATTGAAAATTTTTTATTCTAAAAGCTGCATTGTTTTTCTATTTTTAACACAGATCGAGTGACTTTACAATGACCCTTTTAAAAAGAAATCTCGAGGAATATGCAGGGCGAATGCAAAATGAGCAGAAACGACTAGGAAATGAGGAAAAAATAATATCGACAAGACTGCTATTCAAATCAGGACTCAAAAATGGGGAAAATGAATTAATCAATCTTGTAGAGCCCTTGCCATGTGGAAAAGAACAAATGAAACATTGCAAAGACAGTTGGTTTTCCTACTTATTAGACAGAGATATCAAGAAAGTCATCCAAAACATTGATAGAACTGATGATGGTTTCAATCAACAGCAGCATCATTTCAATAAAATTGAACACTACGCTCCTGGTGATATGTCAAAATATGACAAACGTAAGAAATGGATAAATGCCACAAAATCTCCATCCATCAGTGACGGTGACCTCAATTGTCATATACAACATGATGAAATAAATAGGACTAACAGTAATAATTTGGGCATTTTTCGAACAGCTAATGTTATTCATCAAATTAACGATAAAAATATTGATAAATTGAAAAGGAAAAATTCAATTAATAATCAGTTTGTGTGTCCTATCAAGAGAGATAATAATAAGCGTCCTGAAACTGATAATGCAATTAAAGTAGAAGTAGGCAGTGGTGATGGTGATGAGAGATTGAAAAATATTGATGAGAAAATGATTGAATTAATAAGAAATGAGATAATGGACGGTGGAACTACTGTTGAATGGGAGGATGTTGCTGGTTTGGAGGGAGTTAAAAAAGTTATCAAGGAGATTGTTGTTTTTCCGATGCTCCGGCCAGATATATTCACTGGTCTTCGTCGTCCTCCAAAAGGAATTTTGCTATTCGGCCCACCTGGAACTGGGAAAACACTAATTGGCAAATGCGTGGCTTCCCAGAGTAAATCAACATTTTTCTCAATATCAGCTAGTTCATTAACATCAAAATGGGTGGGAGAAGGTGAGAAAATGGTGAGAGCATTATTTGCTGTTGCAAAGGTTCATCAACCATCTGTTGTTTTCATCGATGAAATTGATTCATTATTGACACAACGTTCTGAAACTGAACACGAAAGCTCAAGGAGGATAAAGACGGAATTTCTAGTGCAACTTGATGGAGCTACGACGGGTGATGATGATAGAGTTCTCGTTATTGGGGCTACCAACCGACCTCAAGAGTTGGATGAAGCTGCTAGACGAAGATTCGTCAAGAGACTTTATATTCCCCTTCCAGAAAGCAATGCCAGAAGACAGATTGTTGAAAATCTTTTGAGAAATGAACGCCACAATCTAACTCAATCGGATGTTATCAATATCGCTCAACTAACACAAGATTATTCTGGAGCTGATATGGCCAATCTGTGTAAAGAAGCCAGTATGGGACCTATAAGGAGCATTCCATTTGATCAACTTGAGAATATTCATAAAGACAGTGTGAGGTGTGTTACCCTTGAAGACTTTCAGCAAGCTATCACTTTAGTAAGACCTAGCGTTTCACAGGCTGATTTAAATCTTTATATTCAGTGGGATCAAACATTTGGAAGTGGAACGGCTGGTACTACTCCAACATAAATCACAGTTCCTCACAACAATATTTATTCTTATAACTATTATCTCCACTTTTACAATAAATTTTATAGGTACATAGATAAATTTTCAAAAGCAATTGTGGATGAGTTTCTCATAAAATTAGACAATTTTCTCCTCCCCCACGCTTTGTTTTGTTTCTCTTTTCATATATCACAGAAAGTATACACAATGAGGAGTGAGGGGCTATAAGTATACCTGAATATTATCAAGTTGTACATCAATTTTAATTTCACCATTTTTCCAATAAACAGGCACAAATTTTCCACTTGTCATTCAAACATTATCAAAGAGCTAAAATACACACTAAAAATGATGTTTGGATTACTTTGACATCTCTCATCTCTAGAATATGAGGAATTATTAACATTGTATATGTTCAGGTCACATGGCAATACACGGCAATAATTGATACTTGATAATATCATTACATTTTTTATAAAGAAAAGATGTGAATTTTTCACATACTTCGATCGTTAACGATCCAAAAACATTCAACAAAAAATTTACATTATTGGTAAATTGTACAGGATTCATTAAAATCCCCACACTTAGCAGTTATTGTGATTGATATTGTAGAATTTAATTCTCAAAATACCAGAAACATTTATGCACGAGTTATTCTATAAATATAAGAATTTTTTTTTTTTTTGGCACAATCAGACAGAGAATCACAGATGGAATAATTGTATTTATATACAGGTAGATTATATGAGAGGATTGATTTTAATTATTAAAAATTCAAATTTCATCAGATCTTACGATGCTTGAGAATGAGCCCTCTGTAATATTATAGAGATTATGGAAGCCTTGATTTATTTGGCAAAGAAAATTTTGGCGTTTTGTCATCATATCAACATTAATGTTAATGAGTATTATCCTTTATGAATCTAAAATAATATTTCTCCACAGAAAGTGTTAGGTCCAAGAGTTGTTATGGGGTAGTTAATTAACAGAAAATTAATATTACCGATTGAATTTATAATTTAACTCATTATACGCCAATTGGGCAGTACATCGGCCATCGAAGTTGAGAAATATGATGAAACATTGTAAACAACCGTTTCACCACCAGCCAAGATAGCTGCAAAAGATCCATAAGTGCCGTAATCAATAATACTGTGATTGCAAGCAGCTAATACTGCTAAATCTTTGCCCACTCCCCGTGCCTCTATATCAGAAATGAAAGTTATTTTATGAGTATTGCTACGTAAATTATATCTACACCACCTGATTGAATCACTCGCAACAATAAATAAGACATTGTCATATTTTCTATTAAAATACTCCATGGCAGATAGATAGTAGCGAACTGGAGCTGGTCGAACTTTTAATTTTTGCCATAAGTAATCCACATAGTCTGTTCTTCGCACATGAATGCCAACAAAAGTTGGTGTACTTTTGTTGAATGTTGTGGCAACATCAGCTAAACGCATTTCTGCATATTTTTTTAATGATGGTTTCAAGGTAAATTCCCTTCGAACATCATCAAGCCACATTAGAATCAAACTCCAGTATGCCGCATGTCTAGAAATTTAATAAATTAATATAAATTATGAAAATAATCAAAATAAGTTTAAAATTACTCCATTACCTTGGAATGATAATATTTTGTTCAGTACTATTCCATTGAGTCAAAGAATTGACAACTTGGCCAATATCCAAAGTGCATCTGCCAATGTAACTCAATGGCGGTATACTGAGATTATCGAAATATTGCTGTAATGTTTTTAAAATGCATCTTGGCATAAATGGTTCGAGTCCAGTTCTCCTAGCTGTTGCCCAAACCGATGCATATTCCCAAATTTGATTTCCCAAACGACCACCCTGGACAGCAGATACAATACCATATTTGGGACAAGGATTCCTCCATTCAATTGGCATTTTTATGTACTTGACATTGCCCCGGCACAATGCTTGTTCATAAATTGATATTTTTGTGTGTCTCATCGGTGGATTGGAGGTATACATTGGAAACAAGAAGACGTGGATGCCCCATACAACGACAAGTGCCAGTATTATAGCACTAGCAAGTATGTGCTGCTGCATATGAGTCATCTTTTTTTCTATTTTCTCTCCTTTCCTGTTATTTGGTTTGTGTTTGTCTTATTCTCTCAAGACACCCGTTCATTTATCCATTTATTCTCCATTTGCCTTTTATCAATACTAACTATATTCATGGAGTTGATACTCCAACATGTTGATTTCTACATTTCAATTAATAATTCTCCATCTCACAGGCTCTATTTTTTTGTGTTTTTCTTTTATTGTTAATAGTTATCCTCCAGAATGGCCTTTCCAGTTGAGTTCACGTAGAATGGCTTAATTAATTACTTACTTAATTATTGGACACACATTGTAAATGCTTATTATTTTGAACGTATATAGTATGATCGATTGAAGTAGTCAATAAGCAGAGGAAGCTTCACTAAATGCAAGTCGTGTGTATAAATTATGCAGGTGCAAATAGCATTGATCAATAACTATATCAGCTCTAAATGCTTAATCATCGTGGAAGATTCATCAATCGAATGCGCTTTTTGTAAAGCAGTTTAGATGTGTGACTTACATATTGAAATGTTCAAAAATTCTGAAAGGGAAAATATGATACCTGAATATGAATCCAACCTATCAATGGTATTTACAACTGAGTATTCTTCTTATTTCATTGTGTGTTGATGATGATACATATGTAGAGCCACTGTAGACATATTATGACATATATATATATATCAACAAAAACTATCCGAGAAATTGTCATTTATGACAATCTGTTTTCCAATGACTACTTGGTCTGTGCGTGTGTAATGCAATATAGAATATAATTATTTTTATGTTTATGAATCCTCTGACTCACAAGCGCAAACCGTACGAAACCGTATCGGTGCGATGGCCGCCAATCACAGGCCACCGCGCGATGTGTTAGTGAGAAATGGTCGCACATTGTCGCGTCAGGACCGTAGAAGTTTTGATAGATAGACACAATAAATAATGAGAGATAAAAGAGAAAAAATGCCAGTGATAAAGAGTCAGTGCAAGGTATAATCTTTCGTGAAATTCAGTCACGAGGGTTACTGCAGTGATAGTTGGACGGAGGGGTTTTCTACCTACCAGTTATTTACCTTTTTTATCATTTAGAGATAAATTACCAGTATTCTACCATTTATATATATACATATCCCTACCACCGCGTAGAAAACTCCGATCCGATCAATTAGCCCCTCATGTATAGATATTCCAAATTTTTATTTTTTTCCTCATTGAAGTAGTTTTGAAGAAAATTGCGAGCTAATAAAAAACATTTGCTAGTTAGTACTTTTTTTAAAATAAATTTTTGAA